GCCCGGGGGCGCGGCCGGGCTGGACGCGGGCGGCCTGGGCCCCGCAGCCAGCGCCGCCGGCACCGCGGCGCCCTTCCCCTTCCACCTCTCCCAGCACATGCTGGCGTCTCAGGTAAGGCCCGGGGAGGGGGGTAGCTCGGCGGGGCGAGGCGGGCAGAGGGCCGCAGGCTTGGTCCTCGGGTCCTCCAGGAGAGGCCGACCCCGTCGGCAGGAGAGCCACCTCGGTCCCGGGGGGTCAGGACCGACGGGGTAACCGGGGCGCCGCTCCTGACCCCTGGGCGACCTTACGACTCCCTGGGCCTCGCTGGGCCCGGTTCCTCCTCCACAACCCCGGCGAGGCGGCGGAGGGGCCCCTTAACACTTCCGAACGAGGGGCGCCCCGGGGCTGCATAGGGGTCGCTTTTTTCCGACCTAAGGAAACTTTGGAGAACGAGAACTCCACCTCCCCGCGGCCCTGAGGGCCTTGCGGGCCGGAAGGCCGGAGCAGGGGGTTTTGCCCTCTTTTCTGCACAGCTGGCCACCAAAATGACTCACCCCCAGACACCCCGGCCCCTGGAGGGCCCTCCAGGAGGGTGCCAGTCCTGACAAGGAGCAGGACCGGCCTCCGCCCTGCTCTGAGCCCCCTCGCTCTCGCTCACACCCAGGGACGGGGCCAGCCTCTCCCCGCAGGGGCCCCGGGGGAGAGTTTATGGCGGCGGCGTTCTAAGGAGCCGGAGGCGCAGAGCAGCCTCTTCAGTTACTTGGGCGGAATATTCCCTGCGGGAAGATTTGGAATCTCTTCACTCAGTTTCTTCCCTCTGAGGTTTCTGGCAAATTGAACCCTCGAGATCTTATCTCCAGGGAGGGCAAACAGGAGTTTGGATTTTTGAGAAAATGGCTTTGGTTCAGAAGCAAATATGTGTAAAACGGGGGCGGGGGGAAGACCACTCAGAAAATGAGTTTTGAACAGAGCTCGTCATCGGGGTGTGCGCAGAGTTTGAGGTGCCAGCATCCCCCTGACTCTGAACCCCTGGCTTTCTGTGACTGTCTCTTCTCCAACCGACTCTGGTCATGGAGGACAAGCGGAAGGCTTTTGGGCACAGCCAGGAAGTAGGTGCGGGTCCAGGGAGAGGGTAGGCAGAGTTGAGTTACAGGGTGAGGCCAGAGCTGTGTGTCAGTCAGGCAAAGCCAAAATTTGGGAAATCCGACGTCTCCTCCCCTTTTGCCAACCTGAGGTACCACCCAGGTCCGAGGCGCCTGGGGCTGGGGGGAGCTTGCCCTTCCGTTCGTTCCCACGGGCCAAGCTGCTTCTTGGTCTCCCCCTGTCTGAAGCAGGAGGCGGGCCTTCTCCGTCTCTAGGAATGTCTGCCCCTGTCACCTGCCCCGCAGGCACCTAAGACATCGTCTCAGGGGTCAGATGATCTCAAATCGGGGGGGACCCAGTGCCCCGAGCCCGGGCTTTCCCGGCTGCCCTGCCATCCACCAGCCAAGACTGCGTCCCGCCCTCAGCTGCCACAGAAAGTGCCGCCAGTCAGACACGCCGGCCAGTTCGTGACCTGGTCGGCACCTGTGTCCTGGCCTCGCTGGGACAGGAGACCCCTCGGGCGGGCAAGCAGGCAGGAGGCTTGAACGCGCCGCCTTCCAGGCCTGTGGTCCCGCAGCAACCTGGAACGCGCAGACAGAAGGAATGGGAGAGCGGCTGCTCCGCACGAGCAGGAGCTGGGCTGCGGGCCCCAGCCGCCGCCACCTGGCCCGGCGCCTGCCCATTCTTCCCTCGAGGCCTTTGCCCACGCTAGTGCGGCCAGTTCGTATTTATTCTCTTACCCTACAAGACACCAGCGCCGAGCAGGGCGACCCCTGCCTTTGCATCTCACCCGCGGGGCTCGGCCCCGGTAGGCTGGCCCACCTCCACCTGAGAGCCGGCGGTTGCCCAGCTAGGCGGACTCTGCTCTTCCAGCCCCAAGGAATGGGCGAGGAGTGCGGGGCTCCAGCAGCCCCCTGCATGACGGACGTCTAACCCTCCTCCCCTCTGCTTCTTCCAGGGAATCCCAATGCCCACCTTCGGGGGCCTCTTCCCCTACCCCTACACCTACATGGCAGCCGCGGCCGCCGCCGCCTCCGCTCTGCCCGCCAGCAGCGCCGCCGCCGCCGCCGCCTCCCTGTCGCGGAGTCCGTTCCTGGGCAGCGCCCGGCCCCGCCTGCGCTTCAGCCCCTACCAGATCCCGGTCAGCATCCCGCCTAGCGCCAGCCTCCTTACCACCGGGCTGGCCGCAGACGGCTCCAAGGCCGCGGGGAACAGCCGCGAACCTAGCCCGCTGCCCGAGCTGGCTCTCCGGAAAGCGGGGGGCCCGTCCCGAGGGGCCCTGTCGCCCGGCGGCTCAGCCAAAGAGGCGGCCAGCGAACTGCAGAGCATCCAGAGACTGGTGAGTGGGCTGGAGAGCCAGCGAGCCCTCTCCCCAGGCCGGGAGTCCCCCAAGTGAGGGGCCGCCCGGCTGCCGCGCTGCCACACGAGCCCCCGACCCCGGGCTGGGCTGTCCGCCTCGGCCGCTTGGGACGCGTACAGCACAGAAGGGTATTTATTTAACTAAAGGAGCAAAAGCAGGCTTCCGCGGCCAGAACAGAGCCTCGAGGGGCAGGCCGGGGATCTGGGCCGCCTCCCTGGGGGTCTCAACGAGGAATCAGTCTACCCGGATCACAGCCACTATGGAGCCCCTGGATTTGATCCAGACCCGCCGGAGAGCCGAGAAGGGGGCGCCTCCTCTCAACACGATGGGGATGGTCTCTCTCCAAGCCCCGCGGCCCCCTTGGAAGCCAGAACACGCCTAGGGTAGAGGCGTTCGCTTCGAAAAGCAGCCCGACGATCTCCGGCCTTGGGCCTGGATGTCGTCAGAAACTGGGGTGAAGGACGCTGGAGCCAGAGAGGCCCTTCTGAAGCCGGTGTAGACCTGAGCTAGGAGGATTCCTATCCATTTGCTCTTCCCACCTGTACCCCACAAGAGACAGGCGCCACTCCTCTTCCTCCTCCTCCTCCTGGGTCAGCGGGGAAAGTTGCACTTCTGCTTTGAGTCCCCAGGGGGCAAAAGATATTTATGAAATAAATGGTAATTTGTGTAAATAAGCTCTAAGGTTCCCAGAAGATACAAATTCGTATTAATTTATTCGAAGTGTACAGTGCTGTGTACATATGTTTAGAGATGAACTCATAGCGTTTAATTTTTTTTTTTCATTTTACATGAGCATCTATATTGTACAGGGCCCCGAGGGTCCTTGGCTGCTGGGGGAGGGGGAGGCACCGAACCCCGGAGAAGGCCCACCCCGCGGGGCCCCTCCGCCTCCGCGCCCCGGTTTTACCCACCCGGCCCAAGGGCCCCACCTCAGGTTTTCACTTTTTGCTCCGGAGGGAGAACGAGGCGAGTCAATAATAAAACGCTACGATGCGAAGTGAACCGCGCCGTGCGCTCTGTGGGCCGCGCGGGGCTGGGGCTCGGTGGGCGCAGGAGAGGGGGGCCGGGGCGGACACAGGCGAGGCGCCCCTACCTGGCCGGGGCTGCAGCTCGGCGAGGGCGGCTGCACGGCTGGGCGGGACGCAGGGCCCAGGCCCCGGGCGCAGGCTGGGCCGCAGGACTCGGGCCCTCGGCCCGGGCTCCCCCTGCTGGCCACTCGCTGCGCGGTCCGCGGCTCCTGCCGCTCCCGGTACCCGGTCGCGAGGGTCAGGCTAAGCCCAGCAAAGTGGCCTGGACTCCCGACTTAGGTTTCTAGGACCCCGTGGAAGCCCCTTTCACCACCCCTTTCCAACCGCTCTGGGTACTTGATCTAGGGAAAAGGGTGCTTCCCTTTTCACTCTCTCTGAGAGGTAGAAGGAGACAGACAGGCAGAGACGAGAGAGAGGAGAGAGAGAGAGAGAGAGAGAGAGAGAGAGAGAGAGAGAGAGAGAGAGAGAGATGGAGACAGAGAGAGCTGGGGAGGGGCTGGCGACCACGTGCCTTCTACACCAGGGTCTGCAGGATTCTCACCCATCGCTCTGCCTTCTGGGATCATTGGTGTTTGGGCAGCTGAGGAGAGAGCGCGGTAGAGCCTGACCTAAAAGTTCCTCCTTAGGCCTCCCGAGGTGTGAGTGTCGGTAAACTGTCCCCCCCCCCCCGCCTCCGCTGGCTGGCGACTTCCAAGGGGGCCCCACTGTGGCCCACAGTTCCGTTAGGCTGGCGCTTGCCCAGGGACACCTCCGTCGAGGAGAGCTGGCTCCTCCGTTTGACTGAGAGCCTCGGGTCGTAGCATCGTTCAGCTGACAGGTACCGTCGGTCGCTAGCCCGCTAGCCGGAGTCGCTGGGGTGGCCGACCCCAGCCTGCCCCCGGGTCATGAGTGCCCCACCTGTAAGTCTGTGGGGCTTTGACGTCCAGTCCAAGGAGGAGGCTGCCGTTCTTGGCACTCTGTACCCCTCGGGGCTGTGTGGCTGCCAACCGGTCCAGCAACGTCGGGCATATACGTGTGAATGGGGGTGGGGTGGGGGAGGGAAGACGTGGGATCGAAAGTTGACGGAAGGGAAAAAACAAACAATAAAAACAACCAAAACTGTCCAGCTCCACCGGGAAGAGGGCTGCCTCCGTGGCTGAGGCGAGGAGAGCGTGGAGAGTGGGGTGTGCAAAGAGCTAACCCCAGCTCTAGGCGGGCTGCGGCCCCCTGCTTGGGTCTACTCGGGCCGACCAGGCCACGCGGTCCACGAACCAAGCAGGAGTAGGGAGGCTCCCTTGCCCGGTCCCCCAGCACCTCTCCTGATCTCTGCGTTTATTCGAGGTGGCTCCGGGTTGAGCCGCCTGTAAAAGTCACAGAGCGAGACTGGCTTCTTGCGGGGGTGGGGGTGGGGGTAGGTGGGGGGCCCTCACTTTCCACCAGGAAGGAACGAACGCTGGGAGTTGGCTGTGGGTCCCCCTCGGCCTGTGGACGCCAGGGGGCAGCACAGGAGTCGCCGGGCCGAGCAACAGACGACGGGCGAGGTGCTGCTGCGGATCCCGGAGCGCGGCCTGGAGCGTTCTCTCTGCCCCTTGCCTTCCGCCGGCCACGCACCCCTCCTGGAGCTGGGCCCCCGGTGCTCTGCCGAGCCCCAGCTGCAAGGCCGAGGGCGGCTTGGGGATCCCGAGGCCTAGACAAAGGCTTGGCCGCTCCCAGGCCCAATTAAGCCACCGGCCTTCCCAGCCTTCCAGCCTCCATTGTCTCTGGGGTCGCCAATTAGCTCAGGCGCCCGCGTACCCGCCGCCCCAGTGCCCCGCGGCCTTAACCCTTCAGGACCAGCTGGGTGGCGACCCCGTCAGCAGACGGGTACCGAGGGGTCGCTGCGGCCTGCTGGTGGGTGCCCTACGGTGTCGCCAGGGTTCCCTCTGGGAAGTGTGGGGTTGCGCATAGTCGTGCGCGCTGGTTTAGGACCGAGTGGGATACTCCGGGGAACTCAGTTTCAGAATTTGGGGGTTCGGTGAGACCCTAGCGGCTCAACTGCGTGGACCTCGGGACCCAGGACACTGTGTCTCCCCAGCGGTTAATCCGGGGCCCCGAACCCCCGAGTCCTCCCTTCCCTCCTAACTTGCCAAGGGCACCTGAGCCTCGGGAGCAGGTCCTGCCCCCCGGGAGGCGTGGAAGGGCTCCGCCTCCCCAGCGAGCCGCGGCCTCGCGGCTGGGGGAGGAGCACGGCGCGCCCGGAATCCCCAGGGCTCAGGCTCGACCCCTGCTTCTTTAGGAGGAGGAGGCCACCGGGGAGGGACCCGTCCAGGAGAGATCGGAGGTGCGCCTCTGAGCGCGCCTTCCCACTTTGGGAACCACCCTAAATCCAATTTTGCTTCCTCCTCCCGCCCCCACTTCGCCCTTGACCCCGAGGTTTGGAGCGCTCTCCCGGTAGGCAGAGTCCAGCCAAGGGTCCAGAGTCCCGGGCTCTAAGGACTGGCGGCAGCAGGGAGCACCGCGCGGAGCGCTGCGGGGAGCTGGGCGCTCCGGCTGGTCTCCCGGCTTTGCGCCGCGCCCTCGGGAGCGCGGGCTGGTGGCCCGGCAGGGAGCGTGTTGGTGGCAGGAGGACTGTTCTTCCCTCGGAGTTTCTCTAGGGGCGCGTATCTGTCCGTCGGGTTTGTTGGAGCCGAGGACCCCGAACTCACTCCCTTTTTACTAGGCTGTTCCGGACCTGGGAACCTTCCCAGTTCCCAGGCCGCAGGAACTCCCCACGTGCCCACAAGATGGCGCTCCAGGCCAGGGGCCGGTCCGAAGCCGACCAGCACTCCTTGCCAGAGCCTCCGACCCACTGTCGGTCCAGGCCCTGAGACTTCTGAGGGGCTACAGAAGGCGGCTGAGGGCACCGACTGGAGAGCTCAAAGCTTTCCCTTGGAACTGCCCTGCAGTACCAGCTCCCGCAAGCTGTACCTGGCTGGGCTTGAATCCCTTTTGGGACGGGGAAGGCTCCTGCCAATAGCCTTCCTGGCCTCTCTGGAGCGCAGTCAGGGCCGGGATCCATGAGCACTAGAAAACATGCCTCTGGCGCTTTTGGGGTGTGAGGCTCCACTGGACCATGCAAGCTTGGGTGTAAGGTTGGCCAAGGCATTCCTCAGCTCTTTCCTTCACGTCCTCAGCCCTACCCAGCTCTTCAAGGTCACTCAGAGACTGTTGGGTATATACTCTGAGCAGTACACCCTTGAGGACCAAGGGTCGCATCTTCCAAGACTACCCAGGGCCCAGGAGAGGCTTTGGGTCTTCAGTTTTTCCAGCCGGAGGAGGTGCTGAATATGAAGGGCAACCAGAGGTTCTGAGTTAGGTTTGAGTTACACGTGGGTAGGGAGGAGAGGCCAGGTAGCTAAGAAATGGCACATTCAGAGTGGGGGTGATCCTTGGAAGCTAAGAACCAAAGATTCCAGCCGCTCACCACCCAGGCAGAATAACGCACTTTTTAAGAACACACAGAGACCGGCCTAGTTGCCACCAGTCTTTCGTCACTTTCCACACCCAGCCACCTTTTGCCACACCCCCGCTGGGCTCTCGGTATCTTTCCCCTTCAAGGTATACCAGAGGACAGGAGCAAACCGTCGCTGATTCAGCTGTCATTTAATGCCCGTCTATCGCAGAGCAGATGCTCAGTAGTTCAAGGACAAAATTTGCCTCCAGCCGTGAGACTTTGAACAATATGACTCCCCCCGCGCCCCCCCCCCCCGGGCTCCAGAGTCCTCGTTGGCAAAGTAAACAGTGTGGACCCAAACCAAAGTGATAAGTGAGAGACAAGTTAAAGCGTCCCCACCAACCGCTCCTGAAGAGGACCTAAGCCTCGAGGAAGCTGGGCCCGAGAGACAGGCACAGCCACTCCAGACCTTGGGGACTTGGGCTGTTGCTAAGATTCTTGGGGTGGGGGCAGGATCGGTGGCCTGGATGAATTCCCAATTAGGAAACTGCATTCCAGGTTCTGCAGCCCTCGGGGAACCAGCTGGCTCCAGCTGCCTCCAGTCCCCGTGGGAGGTGGCTGTCACCGGTCAATCTTCCCACCCCGCTGAGTTGGGAGGGGCACGCCCTATGGGTGGGCGGTGAGGTGACTCCAGCTTCCGAGGGCTGGACAGACTACACGTGGCTTCTCCCCCAAAAGAGAAGGTGACGCCAGCCGAGGGCCTTCTGGGTCCCCTCTTAAAGGGCATCCCCTGGGTCTGGGTTATCTGTTTCTTCCCTGAACTTAAGGCTTGGTGGTATTCAAAGAACTTTCACATGAGGGCTCTCAGTGAAGGTCAAGAGAGGGGCAGTAGAGTGAACCATAGAGGATGACATCGGGGTTCAGAGAAATGAAGGGCTTCGGGATATCAAGGAAATAAAGGATAAGCCTCTTTCACAATCCGGTGGGCAGGGCCCTTGGCAGCGGTAGCTAATGAGGTGATGATGGGTACGAGTCAGCCTCTCGGCTGGGAAAGGACAAAAGGGCTTGGGTGCATGACCTCTGCTGCCGGATGCAGAGTCCTGATGGCCTGGCCAGAGTCTGCGTCTGTGGGAGAAGTACTTGAACAGACCAAGATGGCTGCTGGCTTCACACCAGCCTAGCAGGAGAACATAGGCACAGTCTGTCTTTACTCTTGTTTTTATTTCTTGAAGAGAACAGGGTGTCCCCTGGGTCCATGGCAACCGCTCCTCAGCTTGACGGGAGGACCACCCCACTACATGCCAGACACATTTCCTTCTTATTCTTGGAATGGGAACTTCCGTTTCAGAGAGAAAATTCAAGGCTTAGACCTGTCCAGGATCAAGGGCGCTAAGAAACAGATCACAGAGTCTTCCCAACCCAGTGCTCTTTCCCAGAGCCCTGAGGTCTCTACAGTCTCTGGACATCACAGTTCCCAGGTCATTATGGGAAGTCATAGGGGTAATCTTTCCGGAGTCCTGGAGCGCATGCTTAGTCGTTTCTTCTTGTCCCAGCCTGGCAC